ATTATCAAAAAAAAAAAAATTACATCTAGTTAGTACTATGTGAAGTTGATTTTCAATTCTTATCAAGTTATATCTTATAATTGATATTGTCATAGCCCAAACGAGGAGCGGAGACAGGGGACAGGCAGGAGCAATCGTCCCCCCAAAAAGTTTTTAAAATCTTAAAATTCTCCTTATAATTTTAATTATCAATTAAAATTACATTATTTTGGCCTGCCTTAAAAATAATTATATGCAAGTCTTTCCATTATTTTGTCTAATTTCTCTTGATAAATTGTTCTATACTAAACTAGTAATTAGTATGCTTATTAAAATTTACCATTAGTATGTATTGTACCATACAATTAGTATTACTTTTAAATAATAATTACGAAAACCTTAGCTTTTCCTTTGACTAAACTTCTTTGACAAACCAACTCTTAGTTAAGGGATAATTAAAATCTTCAGTGGGGTTTCTGACAATTTTTACATAAATACCCTATAATATTAGAAATTACATTGACCTCTCCTTTCATAATGTTTAGTTTATTAAACCTACTTACGAGTTTTCTAAATATTGATTGTTATTTATCATGTTAATGCCACCTAATGCTTGTCATGGATATAATTTAAATTTCTTAGAAGATTATATGTTGTACCTATAAAGTAGATGTACCTCTGTGTTACTTGACGATGGTCAAATATGATTTTGTTTATAGGACATCTTCGATTAAAGTTGGCATGAATTTTTTCTTTTTTTTTTGGCATCTTCACTGGCCTTATATGCTGGCATGAAAGATTCATTGCTCTACCAACAGCTCTTCTTAGGCGTAACGGTCAATAGTGTAACTTATTATTATTATTATCTTAAGAGGATCAAACTGATAGCAATCTTTTACCCTTTTTTTTTTATTGGCATTTTCCTCATCAAAAGTGTTAATTGTTTTCATCTAGAGACGAGGAGGGTAAATTTAGAAGAAAATTGTGTGTCAGCACTTTTGTTTCATTTTTGAGATTACTTTTTATGATGGAGGCTGATTTTGTTATTAAACATGTCAAGCAAGGGGAGGTCAGTGTAATTTTTAATATCAGAGGGTATTTATGTGAAATTGTCTAAAACCTCAAAGGAGGATTTTGAAATTATCCTTTTCTTTAATTACTATTATTTTACAATAGCAACTAAAGTAATACTTTTTTGATATGATGTATGTGAGATTAAAAGGTAATTGAAAAATGTATTAATGATGCAAGTAAATCAGTGTGTGTAAATAAAGTGTAAATAAAGTGAAATAATTAACAATCCAAACATACTCACTGTACATATTACACGGGAAATGAAAGACAAACAAAACAAAAAAGAAAAATTCAACCATCACAGAAACCAAAGAAGTTTCAACTGCGGCTTTGAATGTCTAACCTCGATGGTAAATAGAATAGTATATAATTTAATTTTCATATTTTTTATACTTTATTCTCAAAAAAATTTTAATTCTAATTATAGTCTATTGAACTTTTATTTTATATTTTCTACGCTTTATTTGTTATAGAATTTCTTTTGGTTATCATAGCTTTGATGATCCGCTATCTAAACTAAAATTCAATTATTCGAAGAAAAAAACTAAAATTCAATGTCCGTCACCGTCTCAAGCTATAATGGCATAGCAATTTCTGCGAAAATGACAAGAGTATTCCCCTCGAGTTCAAATTATGATGATACTTATTTGATTGGAGTTGAGGGGAACCACTTTACAACATGAATTGTCGTAGCATTAACATTCGAGTTCGGATAACCTCATCAGCCTTGCGTTGGAGCTGGCTTTCTTTATAATTGGATTGGAGTTTGCAGAATCTTTTTATAAAGCTTAACTATAATTGAAACTGCATTTGGAACCTGAGTTTTTTGAGAGTTTGTTTAAAACTTTATTGTAGTGCACTATATAAGTTTTTAAAAAAATTTTGTAGAAGTTTTTATAAGGTGAAAAACTTTTTTTTCCCTTTTCTTTTTATCTTTTTCTTTCTTTTTCTCTCTCTCTCGTTCTTTTTCTTTTTCTTTCTTTCCTTTTTCTTTTCTTTCCTCTCCTCATCTTCTTCTTCTTCTTCTTCTTCCTTCCCCCTCCCCCTTCCCCGTTACCTCTCCTCTGTCTCCCACCTCCAGCACCTCCGCCAGCACCACCTCTGTTCTTCTTTTTTTTTTCTTTTTTTTTTTTTTTTGCTTTTCTCCTCTCCCCTCCCCCGCCACCCCTTTCCTCCCCCAACCCCAAACTTTTCCACCATTCTTTTCCTCTCCCCTCTGCCCGCCACCCCCTCTGACTGCTTTCCCCCTTTCCTCCCCTCTCCCCTCTCCCTCTCCTCTCCCCTCCCCCTTGCACTCCGACGCCCGAGGAAGGCGGGCAGCTGTGCATTATTATTATTTTTTGCTTTTTCTCTCCCTCCCTCCCCTTCCCTCTTCCTCTCTCCCTCCTCCGCCACCCTCCCCCTCCCCCTCCCCCTTTGCGATCTAGTCACGCGACCAGATCGCACCTAGCACCCCCTTTGCGATCTAGTCACGCGACTAGATCGCACCTAGCAGAACGGGGAGGGGGAGGGGGAGGGAGAGGGGGTGAGGGTGAGGGTGAGGGATTCAAAATTTTTTTTTGAGGTTATCGGCACCGGAATAGGTGACCGGCGGCGGGAGAGGTGGTGGAGGTGGTGGCTGGTGTGGTGGGTTGGGTGAGGGAGGAAGAAAAGTTTTTGGGAAATTTTTGGTGTATAGATTTTTGAAGTGTGTAGGTAAAAAATTTTGGAAAGTTTTTTTGGAGTTCTCGTAGCGAAAGCTATTAAAAAACTAGTAACTAAAAAACTTGGTAAAAAACTAGGGTGCCAAACATGCCCATATTAGATGATAACACACGCTTTTATGGAGAGCTACTCTAAAAAAATATGGAAAGAAAGAAAAGGGAAAAGATTTTTGGCAAGCTTATTTGGTAGAACTGGCTAACCATAACATACAAATTTTGGGTTACTCTGAGCTAAGCTAAAAAAAAAAAGCTCAATTTGAGACGAGCTTAAAATAATAACCACCAGGTAAAGCTTGTTATGTTCAAGTAATTTAATCTAATCAACGTCCCTAGCCCGGGCACGTTCATGCCCAAAAGTAAAGTAACACGATGATTTACAAAAACTTTTTAGATTTCAATTCATTCACGGAATTGATTGCCAAACCCATTTGTCTTCTTAATCTGTCCGTCGCCATTTTTGCATTTTGTACCGAGTTTTACAACTACTGAATAATACTCAATTACTGCTGTCTCAAACTCCTTTACACCGCAGAAAGCAGACAAGGGCCAAAGGGGGTCAGAAGCACCATTTGTTGATTATTTTTAAAGCTAAAAGTTTAGATATTTCAATTCTAATTATCACGACGGGTCAGGACATGTTTGGCTCTCAAACCACATCATAGATTACCGTCTAATTTGAACCATACACCAAATCAAGCCATTACTTTTTCTTTTCATTGTTCTATTATTTTCTTTGGAACTAATGAACTGAACATGATCAGTGAGAAGATGAAAGAAATTGCGAAGGTAGAGAAGTCACAAGAACAAAAAGTGTATAAATATTTTACAAATAAATTTGTTGTGGTATTAAAATTTTAGTTCTGACAAGCTTCAAATTTGGATTGGCTTATCAACATAAGTAGATAAAGAGCCGAAGGCCTCTGATGACCTGGATTGGTTTTCGTCGTCCTCTCACGTGCCGCGCACGTGGATCATCCCATCTTTTTCGCGTGATGCGCTTCGTGTGTCCATTTTCTTTCTCGGCTTAGGGTTAGCCGCATAAAACACAAGAATCTCTCGGCCGCTTCTTTCTTCCGCCGTCTCTTCTCCAGATCTTTCCACCGTCTTCGTTTCTCTCTCTCTGTTCCTTTAATCATCCTTTTCTTCCACATTTTTTCCTTTTCTTCCACATTTTTTTTCGTGCATTCTTGTTCTCGTCAGATCTTACCGTCTCTTCTTGTCAGATCTTGCATTTTTTTTTTGAAAATAGACAACGAGTACACTATCTGTTCTTGTCGGATCTTTTTTTTTTGTTGCTTTTTTCCCTTTTCTGATTGCTACTACTATTTTGTTGTTTATGAGGATTATGTTATTCTTTTTAATTTTTAGATTTTTTATTTCTGTAGCTTGGATGAGCCCGTGAGGTGGGGTTTCAAAGATTTCCACTTTATTGATGCAAGAATTGGATGTTGGGTACTAGCACTTGAAGATATATGCTTTAGATTGGTATTTCAATATTTCCTCCATTTCCCTCTTCTTTTTATTTTTTTTTATTTTTTTTTAACAAGCTCCTCTTTTCTGCAGATCCTTTTACGTGCGAGGTCTGATAGGAGTTTCTTCCGTCAGGTAATTTTTTTGTTCTTGTTTTTCTTGCAAATTCTATTTGTCTCTGTCTTTCAGTTTTGCTATATTTGTCATTCTTTATTGACTTCCTTTTATTTTGTTTTCTTTTCTGGGTGCTGAGCTGTGCGTTAGGTTGAGCAATGTATAAATGAGGAGAAAGCAAGAGCTTGTCATTTTCTCTGCTCACCTTCAATTGAGAAGATGTTGTGGGTAAGCTTTTCTGTGGCATCGGGAATAATTCTGTTTCATTTTTCTATTGCTGCATCACGAATCAAGAGCAGTTCAAGTTCCTATTCTGAGATTTTCTTGTGTTGTTTGGTTCTTAGCATTGTAAAAGGTCACTTTTCCATGTTTTAGTCCAAACACCATGATGACAGAATAGTATTCATATTATCATAACAATTGCATCAAGTACAAAACATTTTTTGAGCCAAAACTTCTCAATTGCACTGATTATACACCGAGTTTAGTTCCCTTTTACTCTTCTGTTTTGTGGCACTATTACCTATTGTCATGTTGTTGGTCGAAAGCACTTTAGATGTGTGTGTGTGTTAAACAAGCCTCAGTTTTTTGCACTTTTTTGGTCTTCCAATTAGTTAGTTCAGTCTTGATTAATTACAGCTCTTTTGGCCTTTCTTGCAATAATGCCTACAGTTATAGAAATAATAGTAGATATACCTGAGGATTCACAAGTGACACTTACAGGTAAGTTCATGTTCTAGCCTTCTGCCAATTCTGTTAACACCACCAAAATGCACCAATTGGAGGACATTTTACTGCAGGGAATATCGACGAACAAGATTTTGGATGCGAGAAAGCTTTTAGGGGTCCATGTTCAGACATGCCATCTAACCAATTACTCCATGTCTCACGTGGTCAGTTCCTTTACCTTCGTACTGCATTCTTCATTCTTCGTACTACATTTTCTTATTACGTATTACACTAAGAATTGATGGACTCTAAACATAAGATAAGACACAACCTTTCATCTATCATCTATCATCTTCCTGCCCCGAAATGAAAAAGGGTACGGTCAAATCTTAGATACCATGAAGTTAGGATTTGTGGTTAATACTATCTGGTCTACGTGTATGGTGATATGGTTGCCTGTCAATGTATTATGTGTAATTTTTATGGGCCTTAATGAAACTAAAGGCCTGAATAAACTTAACAAGTTGTCTGTAGGAGAATGACAAAATAAAATAAAAAAGTTTGGTTTCTATTGACAAACTTAACCACGGATCCTTTTTTGGTGTTTTATGCTAAAAAATATATTTTGTATTGCTTTATGCCATGGTTTCTATTGTAATAAATAAGAGAGCTTGTTCCTAATTTTTCAGCCTTTGACAATGGATTTGTGGTTTACTGGTTAGTTGTTTTAATCAAGAAATGTTTGGATACTAAGTTTGTGGATATTCATGATTTTGGCATATGATTTGAGCAACTTCACTAACTTCATTAGTTAGATTAAAACCTGAAAAAGGGAGTTTAGACATCAAACTGCTATTTTGTTAAGAATTTCAGTATATTTGATAGCAATTCCATTGAGTGTTTAGCTTTAGCGAAAATCTGGCAGCTAAAGTTAAAAGGTAAAACTTAGTCACCATTAATTTTCTTGGTATTCTCCCATGGTGGACATATTTTCCCTCAAGATTTGTGAAATTTTCGAGCCTTCTGTACCAAAAATTGTATGTTGATTAATTGTCTTGACATTTTTCCAGGAATGAGTTATGTTCAGAGGGGATTTTTATTATGTGCTTAATCTTTTGAATTGTTGCTTTGATCTAGACTTGTTGGTTGTATTTTTTCCCCGGGGAGATTCTTTAATTGGGTGATTTAGCATTTTTTGCTTGGTTTCCTCATCTCTTCTCATTTCTGTGCATGTGAGGCTGTCTTTTTCTTTTTTTTTTGTTATGTTTTGCTTTGGTGCTTAGTGGTTCTGAGGCTTGAAGGATCAGCCATTTGCAATTAATGAGTGGATTCCATCAGAAATTTTGTACTTGTGACTATTGTAATCGGTTAAATTTTGTCATTGCTTTGAGTTGCTTTTGGTGTTTGAGATTGTGATGTGATGTGTGAAGGAAATTTTGTGCTTGTTGTCTATTGATTTTGTGTAAACCTCAAATTCTGTGTGTTTCTCTTCTTTTATTGAAGGAATAGAATTTGGATTACGAAAAAATGAAATGAGTTAATGGTTTTTATGGTTTGTATTGTGGGACTAATCCTTTTTAGGCAGACTAACAGTTATTTTCTTCTCTAAAAGAGATTTTTCCTGATTTAGGCTTTGTGAATGTTCTGGCTTTTTGCAGCTAAGTCGGGCGATTGATTAGCTTGGCTGCTTTTTATGTTTATGAAGTTAAACATGAGGTATATTAGGATTGTTTTTGTATTTTGTATTTTGTTTGATTATTTATACTTATGTAGTTATGTTTATGTCTCTGTTTTTATCGCTGTAGAATGTTAGACTAAGTGATCTTGTGTTGGGCATTCATCTGGTTTGATTAGGGATTCGGCTCACTGTTAAATTGATTATTGTAAGACAGCTAAGGGTTTGGATTTTGACTGTGAATAAGTAGTGTGTGCAGACTAGCAATGTATTGTTTGTTCATACTTATGCAGTTTATGACTATGCTTTTGAGTTTTGCTGCAGAACGTTGAATTGAGTGATCGTGTCGCTGGGCGGCTAAGAGGAAAGAATCTGTTGTCCTGCCTGTGTGACACATTCATGTTTTCTGATTAGGAATGCAGCTCAATGTTAAATTGATTATTGTAATTTTTATTTTTTTTTAGCCTTTTTCTAGATAACAATTTTATTAGATGTTTTTAGTTAATGTCTAATATGTATTTATCATTGTTAAAGAACTTAACTGCGGAAACTTTTGTAGTAGCTAGGTTGCTAATTGATATGGCTCAATTGCCATTTCAGTTTGTACATGGCTTACGTTTTGTATATGTATATGGAACATGATGCTTTTCCGTTCTATGACAATTTGTTTTGTGGATGATTATTTGTAACTGCCAAATTCTTGGCTGTTTTTTGCAATAAATGAACTATAGCCATATAAATGAACTGTCCATAGTTGACTTTGGCTGGGGAGGTTGCATTACAGTTTTTCCTTTGTTAAAAAAACTGCTTGGAAGTGTTGAGCCCTGTTTCTTTTGCCCTATTCTTCGGCAAATGAAGGGAAAAATGATAGTTTTAAGCATTATGTGTATTTGCAAGAGCATGCTGCGTCAGGTTTTAGAGAAGACATGAATAAAAGGGTAGATTCCTTTGAATGAAAGGGTTTCTTGTTATCTTTGTCTATGTTCCTGTTGAATTCAAGAGGTTTCAACTTTGTGAAATTGACAAGTCTTGTAATATGGGTCTCATGTTGCTCCACATAGCAGATTTTGTACTGTGTTTTTTTGTTCATTTACTTTTTTTATTCTACACTTCATTAAACCAAGAAATGAAACAAGACAAAACAACTTGGTTTGCTTTTACTCCTTTTTCTCCATTCAAAGCACTAGAAGTTTAATGTTCAACAAGTTATTGCATTTGTTTAGCAATTCAGGCTTTGCTAATGGGTGTTTAGCCACAAAATTGATGTTAACCTACTTGCTGCACTCATCAAGCTTTAGTAGTGAATGTTTGAAAAGTTTCTTTGGTTACTTTGATGTCCTCTCTATCTTTTTAACTAATAATTAGTCATTGCAGTTCCTTTGGGATGAATATGATTTGCAAACACCAAAGGAGCCAAACTTTTTGTCTAAATATTCCTTGGTAATGTGTTTTTGGCTTCATCTGCATGGAAATACCAAAAAAATGTGTGGACAAGAATCAACAGAAAATAAGAGGAAAGTACATCATTGCACCGTCCAGTATGTTAATGGAAACTCTGGACTATCTACACTGAAATTACTACATAGTAATTCAAAATAATTTACCAAGAAATGAAGAACTACTTTCAACTATAAATATATTTACTGGATTTGGTGGTCCTTCGTGGCATGAAAATTATTAAGGACACTTTCTGCATCAAAAGAAATTTTATCTGTGAAACGCACTTTATGTATGAAGGATCCCATTAAAATAAAGATAAGAATTACGCCATATGATTATATATGAATTATATCCCTCTTGCCATCTACAGATTTAGAGCACAGGCTCTAACTATCTAAACTTGTTAAATGCCTATACTAAAAATGTACTTTTTCTACATAAATTACAATTTTTATTGCTTCAAAATTGGGCAGGGCATTTTTCATAATGAAAAATGATGGAGAAGAAACCTCATTGGAAATGAAACCAAGTAAGGTTAGGTCTTCAACAATGGATGGAAGTGTACAGTTCATGCATGCTCAAGATCAAGAAGAATTAACGCCAAAGTTCCAGTATCAAGTATTTAAGGTGATATTTCAGCACAATGAATCCAAAAGAGTTTGGTGATATCTTAAGGTGAAGTAAATTTCTAATCTTCGTAAGTAATATGGATTGGATTTTAACAACCCTTTTATTTATTCATGTATATTTATGTTTAACTGCGTACATAAAATTATTAACCGACAAATATTTTTGTTCTATGACTCCATATATTTAAGAGGGCATGTTTTATATTTATCCCAACGCGCAACGCGCGTTTTATGCCTCCTAGTCATATTCATACGGCGTAACTTGAGTCTTGATACATGATTTATTATATTTCGGAGTGCCAAATTTTCTCACAAAGAGAAAAAGGGGAATAATTTTGGTAGGCTCGAATGGTTAACCATTCAAATATTTTATGTGGCAAAAATGAATTCTAGCTCAAGAAAGGCTCTCATTTGGAGATGAGGTTAATAATCACCAAAGAAAACCACTTCTGGCTAAGGAGTAAGGGGCATGTCGGTGCCCGACGAGTGCGTAACTGGGATGCGATGTTATTTTCGCAACTAATTATCTTAGAATGGAGAAGCTCTTTTACTTTCCAATTTCCACTCCCAATTTTCAAGCAAAAGGCAAAACATTTTCCGCCCTCTTCCGCGTTATCATTGAGCCTGTTGGACTATTTGTTAATCTCTTTGGTCCTGCATCATCTAAACTCCAAAAATAACATGAATTTGAAAGATACTTTTTTTTAAAAAAAATTTCAATTGAATCACGGAATCGATCAACGAATCCAATTTTCTTAATTTGTGTGACTTTTTGTTTTTACACAGATTTGCAACTATTAAATCATAGAAAGAAGATAGGAGGACAAACCAAGGATCTTCAAATCATCATCTGTGTTATCTTTTGTTTCTGTCCTGTCTTTCTCATTTTTGTTTAGCGTCATGTTTTCCATCCCATCTTTTTTGTCTTTATTTAAATATTACGTGTATTGTACTGTTAAATTTTTTACCAATAGAATTTAAGAGTTATTTATTATTTAATTTATGTATAATAAAATTTTAAAATTCATTAATCAATACACGTAAGAGTTAAATAAGGACGGAAGAGACGAGACGGAGATGAAATCCGGTTCAGATGATTGCGACACCACTTTTTTTTTACCCCATTTGTTCTAATACGCCATCGATCTTTTATTTTGGTTTCTCATTTTTTATTCATGGGTTAGGACATCACTTTTGACTCGACTTCTTGCCTTTCCCATCCCAATAAGCGTTAGTACTAGTGTAATAAATAAACTAAACATAACGAGAAGAACACCAACAATCTCTCTCGCTTACTGGTTCGTGGTTTTTCCTTCAATTCCGGTGAAAATTCTTCCCCTTTTGTCATCCGGAATATCTAATTCGACTTGGGTTGCTGAATTGATCATTTCAAAAAAGGTGGGTTGGTTTAATTGGAGCATTTAACGAGGAATATATATATATAGCTGACGAGTTTTGCAGAAATGGCGGCTATAGCTGGCTCGGAGATACATGGCTTCCGAACCATGAAAGGTACTCAGCAATAGTGCAGTTTTCTGGTTTGTCATGCGTATTTCAGGTTGATTTATATATCATCCACGGAATTTTAGCTGCCTTAAAAGGTAGTAAAATTTTTGTCAAGATAAGGAAATGGGATTGTGATGCTTTTTTTTTTTTAAAGTGGTTTTTGTGGTGAATTTTAGTTGACTGAGAAGTAAATTGGTTTCCAGGGTTTCCCCAGCTGGAAATTGACGTTTAATTAAAGGTCTTAGAGCTGGATATGTCGACATAGATATTTGAAATGAAACTTTGCTGTTATAATAGGATCTATCCCTTCATGGGAGGAACAAGTGATGTTCTTACTTCTTGTTTGTGAGGACATCTTTGTGACACTGTAACCTCTGGCTTGAGCAATGGATTCTATCTGGTATATTCAACATTTTATAGGATTTGAAACTTTTCTTGACTCAAAAAAAGGACTTTTTTTTTTTTCACATATTATTCTCAAATACCTGTTGCGAAAAGCTAATACCAGCTTTTGTTTAAGGTTTTCCCATAACTATTCAGCATTTGATAATGGCTTTCGTGTATCTCTCATCTTTTGGGTTCCTCACCCCTATTTTGTCATGGTAAAAGCCAGTCCTTTAATGAGAATCATTCGTCCTATTTAATTTATCGACAGACTTAGATATTGGCAACATACTGGAGGAGGCCAAGGGAAGATGGCTTCGGCCAAATGAGATTCATGCTATACTCTGCAACTACAAGCACTTTAATGTACAAGTCAAGCCAGTCAACTTGCCTCCAAGTACGTTTGAGCAGGAATATGATACTATAACCAAAAATAATGTGATTCTTCTGTTGATGGATTCAATGCGCAAGGAAAAGATACTCTGACACTGATGCACTCCAAATGTGAATTTGTTGTGATATGATAGGTGGCACAATTGTGTTATTTGATCGGAAGATGCTTAGGAATTTTCGGAAGGATGGTCATAGTTGGAAGAAAAAAAAGGATGGGAAAACTGTCAAAGAAGCACATGAACACTTGAAAGTAAGTTTGCCTCTTTTAGGTTTAGATTTTGTTAGAAATCAACTGTTAAACAGACTTACCAATTGTTTGTTGGTAGGGTGCATGTGTTACTGTGTTGAACAGTAACTTTTTGTTTTTTTAGGTGTTTGGTGTTGGGGGATATGCCGTGGCTGTATGAGGTTCATGTTTTGGGTCATTCATTTTATTTGTCATACGTTGTTTGTAGTAACATTAGCAAATTGAGACATCTAGTGATATTCGTCTCACTAAATGGATTAGCAAATGTTTACAATTTGAGGACAGCATTTCATATCTCCCAATTGAACCTGAAGTCATGAGATTGGTCTTGAATTTGGTTTATTTTGTGACAGGTTGGTAACGAGGAGAGGATTCATGTATACTATGCACATGGAGAAGATAACCCAACTTTTGTTCGAAGATGCTATTGGCTACTTGACAAGTATGAAATGATTTTAGTTCGTAAGAGCATCAACCTAGTCAACTTTTCGTTAGCATGCTTCTGATCTTAGAATAATGTCTTTCCAGTACATGGCTTTGTCAAATGGCCAAGTGCCCAAATCTTAATGTGGGTCTTGTTAATCAGTATTTATCTATGTGTCAGGTCACTGGAACACGTAGTCCTCGTTCATTATCGTGAAACTCAAGAGGTTTGTCTCTTAATCCAGAAAGCCACCACATGATATGTAGTATAGTCTCATCTTGGTTGTAGATAGTTATAACAAATACTGGATTCAAAGGTACTAAAAGTACTTTGACAGAAGTTTGCTAATCTATCAGAACTGAACATAAGACATCTTAGCTAGATTCTCAACTGTTTATGGATATGCATGTCTTGGTGTATATGGCTATTGAAGAATTGAGATGTTATATTTATTCACATGAAAAGTCGATTTAGCTTCAATCTTTCTCTAGTTATTAATATGTTGTCAGAAGAATTGGACTCTCAGAAAGAAGTCTGAATGATGGACTAATTTTTCTTATATGTGACTGAACAGAAATTCATATTATACTCTTAGTCAATTCTTGGAAGGTGGTCGACTTTCATGGTCTAGTTT